GCTTCTCGCAGGCTCTAGCGTCATGTTTTACCTGGCGGCCGCTGTGTCGGATTTCTACATCCCCTCCTCGGAGATGCCTGAGCACAAGATCCAGTCCTCGGAGGGGCCGTTGCAGGTGAGGGACCCCAGGGGCACGGACCCCCCCTTCTTCACTGCCCACTCCTCCCAGCACCCTGGCTGTCCTGAAAAGTGGAGTTTTTCACTGGGAGTGGGAATTTCTGCGGGAGCAGGACCCCGCGGAAGTAACTCTTTGAAGCCAGACACGCTGTTAAAAGATGGAGATGAACAGGTGGATCTAGAGCCACATATGTTACAAACACCAAATTTGTTTAATTAGCTTTTAACGACTTGCTAGGCTTGGTTCTTTGTTCTTAGAGTAGGAAAACCAAGATGCCACTGAATTCCCAGTGGCAGACTCAAAGGTTAAGAAGCTGGAGAGCGAAGACTCCTGTTTTTTCCCCCATGCTTTGGCATATTTATGCTTCATGTGCCTTAAAGAGTTAGAAAGAAGGGTTAAGATTTGGTAAGCAGCCTAGATTTTGGAGAGCTGAAAACTCAAAGACTTCTGCAGTTGCAATTCTTTATCTTCCCTGCTTATGTTGAAGTCCCCAGAGTTTTAGCACTTAAATATCAAAATGTTTATGCAGTTACTTCTTCGCGTAAGAACACCCTGCGTACTGTTAATATCAGACTGATAATTTAATTCAATTTTATGGTGCATGCCAGTGACGTGTTAAGTTTGTTTGGTGAGATCAGACCAAATACTACTTCCGGTGCATGCCAGTGACGTTTTAACGTTGTTTGGTGAGATCAGACCAAATACTACTTCGGAAAAACTTCCCAGCGTAGATAGATGAATTGAAGCAGGAATTTCCCTGCTTCTCCTCCTCCATCTCTTATTAAAACACATTGTAACATGTTAACTGCAGTTTTTCTCTATGTATTCTGTATGTATTCTCTATGTATCTCTTTCCTTGATACAGATCACGATGGAGATGGTGCCAAAAATGCTGTCTCCTCTCGTCAAAGAATGGGCCCCAGAGGCGTTTGTTATTTCCTTTAAACTGGAGACGGATCCCTTGATCTTAATTGATAAATCGCGGCGGGCTCTGGAGAAATATCATCACCAGGTGGTGGTAGCGAATATGCTGGAGTCGCGGAGAACCTCTGTTATTATTGTAACCAAAGACTCGCAGACGCCGTTATCTCTTTCTGACGAGGAAATAGCGCAAGGCGTGGAAATAGAGGAAAAGATAGTGAGCTACCTTCAGGGCCTACATACCGCCTTTATAGAGAAGAAAGTCTGAATGAGACGAGTAAAATTGTACTAGAGAGGGAGTGGAACTGGAGCGATTCTCAGTCCCAGGTAAATAAATCCGCAGTGGAGCGCTGTGGGAAAGGCTGCCGTCCAAACCAGTGTGACTTTCCTACCGCTTCATAATGGTTATTGTTGCTTGCTTTGAAAAGGAAAAATACACTGAAATGATTCCAAAGGGTGATATTTGTTCTGGTGTCTAAAGAAGGAAAGGAGAGAGTGCTTTATTTCTGTCCCGTGGGCTGAGAGAACCAGGAGGTGGAGAAATGGTAAATATATCTGTATATAAAAGAGTTTATGGAATCTGCCTCGTCAGAGTTTCTTTCCGAGCTGTTGGGCGGAGGGGATGGGGCTTTGCGAAAAGTAAGATGTGCTGGTTTTGTGACTGGAGGAGAGTGACAGAGCCGGCTCGTGTTGCAAGGGGACGGTGACGGGAGGTGGAGGTGGCGGTG